AGGAACTCCAAGACTCCAAGTAGCCTGATGGCAAGAGGTCCAGGTTTGGGAAAGAAGCCACCAACCCCTGGTTTCTGGGATGCACAGGAGCCTGTGGCATCTCCAGCTGGAAGGGAAACCATAGTATCGGCCACACTTCAGGCCTTCTTGCCCTGACCCCCTTGTCCTAGGCCACTCCCTCTGGGGGCACACTGTGCGATGCTCTTTCCCTAGCCACTGAGCCCTGGCTCCCAATGCTCTTCAACCCTGGGACCCTCTGCCCAGGCTGCTAAGCAAGGTTGGAGTTGATGAAGTCCTCTTTCCTAGTACTGGAAGTTTGGGGGCCCTGGGAGGCTAGCAAGTGTCCATGCCTGCCTCTGCTGCCCCCTTCCTCCTTTCCTGCTTCTGGTTTTTTAGACTCTAGTGCAGGGGCAGGCACTCAGCAGATGGGTGTTGGTGCTGAGGTTTCTCCATGGCAAAGGTGACACTGTGTTGAATCTAAGAGGGTGCCACGCTGAGTCACACTCTGTCTCACTGCATGTGTGTAAGGTCCATGTGGATGTACCTCTGCTGCTCCTTTCTGTCTGTGTCTCTGTGGCTGTGAGGGTGTCTTTCAAATCCCTCCGTGTCTGTCTCACAACCTATCTGCCTCTGGCTCCTTATCTTCTGCCTTCATCTCTTCACAGTGGGTGGACTTGGCAGTTCTCACACTGGACGTTCCTCTCTGCATTGCTCTCCTTCTGCCCTTTTCTTTTGGGGTGCCTTATCACTGGCCTCTTTCCGTCCTGTTTCCCCTTTACTCTCATAAACTCAGGAGACAGAATCAAGATTCTGGCTCAACAGAATCCCTGGGTATCAGCTTTGGCCTTTACATCCTGTTTCCACTTCCAGTCCTAGGCTCCCAGTTTCTCCAGACTGGGAGAGAAACCACGGTGCCTCGTTAGCAGCCCCCTCAGCCTCCCCTCCAGTGATAAAAACTTGTAAACCAAAAGCCACTGAGAAATAATGGAGAAGAGGGAAGTCTACCATCTTTTCCAAAAGTTCCCCCAATGGCCCTTACCCCTGGGGGGCGGGGGGGGGTGTTCATCTGTGCTCCAAGGGAAATCGTTATTAAGAGGATTTTATTCCAAGGTTTGGGATCCAAGTGCTTCCAGAGAGTTGTCATTCCCTTGTTTCTGGGTTTTGACCTACCCACAGGGAGCCTTCCTGAAGCCAGGAAATAATGAGCTCTGTTGGTCCTGGGTCCTATCAAGGCCTTTGCATGACCCTCCACCTCCAAGCAGGCTGAAGGAGGTTCTGGTCCTTCTCTAGTCACTTGCTTGTCCTGGGTCTTGGGACATACACTCCACATAGGAGCAGCAACTACTCCTAATACTGGGCTGTGGGAGCAGTAAAACTGTTCTGACAAGTTCCTGCCCTATTTTTTATGAGGAAGTAGGTATTGAGAGTCTTGAAGGCTGTGTAGCAAGGGTCCTCTCCCCAGACTAGCCAACAGGAGTAGAACCCCAGGAGCCCTCTAATAAGTCAGGACTTCCTCCTGACTACCCAAGCCCAGCTGGGGGCAAGAAACGGTTATCCTTAGGTAGCTTCTTTGCTAGCTATACCTTGGACTCTGCTGGGAATTGACACACTTGCCTTTTTGCTTCCTCTTCTCCCAACACACAGTATTTGGAAGACTATTTATTCAGACTCCTAGTTATTTATTGCAGATTGGTAAGTTTGGGGATTGTGGGTGGGGCATGAATGTAGGAGTTAGAGACCTGGTTCTTTTGGTTTCTCAAGGTCAGAGCTAGCATCCTCTCCCCCTGCTTCTCAGATCTTTTTGGGTTTCTGTCCAGTCCTGAGCTTTGTACTGGAACTGAGTGGAAGGGAGACAAGAACTGGTATCCTTGCCAGACTCTGGAGCCCCTGGCCCATACTACTTCCCATCAGGCTGGCTTACCCTCTGCCTAGGACTTGTTGGTTGTTCAGCTCCAGCCCCTTCATAGCCTAAGACTTGGGCCATGGCCTGGGACCCAGCTAACACTGCCCAGGACATCTGATGCATTTCCTCTTGCCTGCCTCCTGCCCTACCACTTGGGGCCATACTACTTGAATCACTGCATCTGATTTGCCTAGTGGCAGACCTGGCTTTAGTTTCCTCTCCTTGACCTTGGGGTGAAGGTCAAGATCAATGGGACCATGACCTGGTTAGGCTGAGCTCCACAGTGGGATACTACCTGAGGAATGGACCTGTCTTTGGTGATACCCCCTTTCTAGACTTTTAGGGGAGCTCCCCCCAGAGAGCCAGAGTTTCTAAGGGTTTGTGCTTGAGAAGCTGCCGCCAGGCCTTCGGACACTCACAGATTAAGCTGTGTGAATTCAGCGAGCGTCACTCCATAGGGTCAGAATTAATGTGCTCGTGGTTTTTCATTTGTCTTGCTCCTTGAATCAATGCTATTGATAAATTGTCTAATAAATCATGTTTTTTGTAATCAACATTGGTACTATGATGGGCTGAAATCTCAGAGGTCTCTGGGAGCAGGTTTGCATAGGGATGGAGTCTTCCTAGAGCACTGGAAGAGAAAGGTCAGGAATCCTTGTATGAGTTTATGCTGATCTCATTCAGCCACAGCAAGTTAAGAGTTGGCGAGGGTGAGGGATGGGGGAAGATGTGTAACATGATTACACAGCAAGTTTATTTTTTAAACTTTTAAAATTCAAAAACATGTAAATAAAAGCAAGTCACCCATAATACCATGAAGTCAATGGGAATTTGTCTTTTTAAGCATGATTTTTTTTAATTACATAATCATTTTCTTGATAGTTTTGTATATCAGAGAAAGTCATGGAATAATGAGTCTCGGTATGGTTGTACTGTAGGATAATGCACTGGACTGCAAGGTTGGTTTGAACTGCAAGGTTGCTGGGTCACACCTACCAGCCACTCCTCGGAAACCCTGTACAGGTCACTGTGAGTCAGAATCAACTTGATAGCACTAACAACATTGAATGATGAAAAAAAATGTATTCTATACTATTTAAGGAGCCCTGGTTGCATAGTGGGTTACAAGTTAGGCTGCTAACCATAATGTCAGCAGTTTGGATCTACTGATCACTCCACAGGAGAAAGATGAGGCTTTCTGCTTACGTAAAGATTTACAGGCTCAGAAATCCTATACAGGGTCACCATGAGTTGGAACTGACTTGATGGCACACAGCCACTACCACCATGCTATTTCATATGCAAAACTTAATCACTTCCTATTTCTGAATATTTTACTTATACCAGCTCCTGTTATACATAATAGAGTGAATATTTGTTTTTGAAATTTTTACATTTCTGATTAATTTCCCTGGCTCAGTCTCATATGTTGAAAGGTATAAATAATTTTAAGGCTTTTTCATACATACTGATAAACTGTGATCATTTTACCAGTTTCCATTTCAAATAGCAGTTGGCTTCCTTGTTCTCAGCCAGCCAGCATCCTTTCCCCCTGCATCTCAGACCTTTCTGGGTTTCTAGCAGACCCCAGCTGGGAGAGGCTCTGAGCTTTGTCCTGGAGTTGAGTGAAAGGGATACCAAAACTGGTATCCTTGCCAATATAGTGAAACTTCTGATTTATTTTACCTGTAATTGTTAAGAGGATGGGCTCTGGTGTCAGACAGCTCTGGATATTTTTCCAGAGCCAACTAGGAAGTGCCTTGCGGGGCTCTTCTTGAGCATAAATGAAGCTTAGAGCAATGCTTGGAGTCCTGGTGTGGCACTGTAGGATAAGCATTGGACTGCTAACCACAAGGTTGGCAGTTCATACCCACTAGTCCCTCCTTGTAAACCCTGTTTTGTTAATGCAGTGGAGTCAGTTCAGACTCATAAAGACCCTATATAGGGTTTCTGAGGTGCAGCTGGTGCTTATCCTACAACACCACACCAGGAAACCTAGAAACTCTATCCAGGGTCGCTGTGAGTCGGTACCAACTCGACAGCAAACAACAGAGCAGTACTTGGGGTAGCTCTGGCATAATCACTGGACTGCCAATCATAAGGTCAGTGATTTGAACTCACCAGCTGCTCCGCGAGAAAGATGAGGCTTTCTGAGTTGGTTCTGACCCGTAGCGGTCCTGTATAGGGTTTCCAAGGAGCGACTGGTGAACCTGAACCACTGACCTTGCGATTCAACTGATTTTGCAATCCAGCTCATTAACCCACAGCGCCGCACCACACTCCTGCAAAGATTGTTGTTCTGTGCCGTGGAGTCAGTTCCGATATATAGCGACCCTGTACATTACACGGGAGCAGAAAGCCTCATCTTTCTCCCGCGGAGCAGCTGGTAGTTTCGAACTTCCTGACCCTGAGGTTCGCAGCCTGATTCGTAACCGTTAGGCTACCAGAGCTGCTCCGTACAAAGATTGTTGTTATGTGCCGTGGAGTCGGTTCCGACTCAGCGACCCTGTAACGGTTTCCGAAGCTGTAAATCTTTACGGGAGCAAAAAGCCTCATCTTTCTCCCGCGGAACAGCTGGTAGTTTTGAATTGCTTGCGGCTCGCAGCCCGATTCGTAACCACTACGCTACCAGAGATGATCGAGTTCAGAATCCTGTACAGAGTTGCTGTGAACCGACTCCACAGCGCACTCGACTAAAACGGTGCTTGCTGGGTACTTGGCGCGGAGTCTCACGGTACTGACCCAGGAAAGGAGGCGGGGTGGAGGAAGACTGACGGTGGCCAATCGGGAGCTGAGGTGGCGGTGCTACGCCCCGTTCACGCCAGCCGTCTTAAAAGGGCAAATAAAGGGTGCCGGAAAACCCACGCACCCCTGTATTACCGCACCCGTGGTGAGTACGAACTCTCCTGAACTTCAGGGAGTGTAATGCTCTGACTTTCCCCTTCTTTCACGCCCACATCCCTGTCTGCTCTGACAGTGGACCCTGCGGGCCTGCGCGGCCTGTTTAAAAATCTCGCGGCTGCAAGACTGGAGACCGCCGTGTTCCCTCTACCCCTTCGGTGGCGTTCCTTTGCCTCTCCGGCCACAGTCCTCTGCTATGCGAGTGCTACGCACCGGTCTGACCCTGGCGCTTGGCGCCGGGCTGGGCGTGGCCGCAGAGTGCTGGCGGGGGCGGCGGGAGACCACGCAGGCAGCGCCAGGACTCCTGGGTCGGCTACCCGTGCTGCCTGTGGCGGCGGCGGCCGCGCTCCCCGCGGTGCCCTCGGGACCGGCGAGCGGCGGCCCGGGCGAGCTAGCCAAGTACGGACTGCCGGGATTGGCACAGCTCAAGAGTCGCGAGTCTTACGTGCTGTGCTACGACCCACGAATTCGCAGCGCGCTCTGGGTGGTGGAGCAGCTGCGTCCGGAGCGGCTCCGTGGCGAGGGCGACCGAAAATCGTGTGACTTCCGCGAGGACGACTCCGTGCACGCGTACCACCGCGCCACCAACGCCGACTACCGCGGCAGCGGCTTCGACCGGGGCCACCTCGCTGCCGCTGCCAACCACCGCTGGAGCCAGAAGGCTATGGACGACACCTTCTACCTGAGCAACGTAGCGCCCCAGGTAGCGCCCGGGGGTGGGTGGGCGGGGGCCAGCCTCCAAGGCTATTTGTCCTTCGGAGTGGGTAGTCTTGCCAGTCACCCCGCCGCCATAGGAGGAAGGGAGCTGTGCGTGTCTGAGCTCTGCTCTGCAGCCCGGCTACGGGTTAACTCAACTCACGGAGATGGGGTGCCTCCCTGAATAATGGGGACATTATTCTGTGGCGTGGTAGGAGAACCACTGGACAGCCAATCATCAGGTCGGCATTGCAAATCCACGAGCTGCGCCTCAAAAACCCTATATAGGGTCACTACGAGTCGAACCGACTCGTATGGCACTTAACTCACAGTATCGTTGGGAAACTAAAGGCACAGTGCACGTGAATGTACTGAACACACTCTGATCCAGACAAGCATTAAAAAAAAATAACTATAGTTATTTTTATTTGTTGTCTTGTAGTGCCGTCGAATCAGTTCCGACCCATAGCGACCCTGTATAGGGTTTCCAAGGAGCAGCTGTGAGCTTAAGTTGCCAACCTTGCAGTAGGTTGTAGTTAATATATTGTTACACTGGAGCTGTGGTCTAGGCGGTGAGCAGTTCAAACCCACCAGCCACTCCGTATGAGAAAGATGAAGCTGTCTGCTCACATAAAGATTTGCAGACTTCTTAAATAATACCGAGTCAGTTCTGACCCATAATGACTCTTTATAGGATTTGTGACCCTTTATAAGAGTGACTGGTGAGCTTGAACTGCTGACCTTGCAGTTAAAATGGTTTTGCAGTCTGGGGCATTAACCCACAATTGCAGTCTTGTTGTTATGTGCCATGGAACCCCCTATATAGGGTATCTATAAACCGGAATGGACTCGATGGCAGTGGTTTGGGCTTGGTTTTTCAACTATGTTGACACTGAGGCTCAGGAAGATACAGGGACTAGCTCAGTGTCACACAGTGGGCCCTAAACAGGCAGTCTATCTATATAGGAGCCTGTTTTCAGCCTTTGTCCTACCCTGCCTGCTGCACACAGGTTGTTAGTCACAATGCACCCGTGGCAAGCTGCCCTACCACTGGCCCCATACCCAACAGGACTAGGCACCTACTGGATGTCTCTAGATGAAGCGCTAGAGAAGCCAAGTACCTGATTTCTTACGCCTTCCTAGCAGCAGAGCCCCAACCCATTCATCCAACTAGACATTAATTGGATTGAGGCCTGGAGAGCTTAACCATACCGGTGCTACTACGCCCCTCATGCCTGCATCTTAAAAGGGCAAATAAAGGGTGCCAGGAACTGAACATGGTTCAGAGCAGGGTTAGGCAAAGAACTATGGAAAGAATGAGGAAGCCAGGTCTCTGTCCTTTTTCTCTTGCAGCTCTTTGGAAAAAAGGCTGAGACTTGAAGGTGTTAGTCCTTCCATCTTAGATGGAGTGGGGGTGACTCTCACCCCATCAGCTTTACCCAGGCTGTATTCATGGTCATGTGTGACCAAGTGACTCTTCCCCTGAAAATTACTTTCTTCCTCTAGCTTGTTCCCAGCTGGTTACTCCTGGCTGGGTACCAGGGCACACATCCCTGGGCCTTGGGCAGCCCTTGACAGAATGGGAGGGGGTTCTATACCCAGTCCCACCGGGCCCTACTTCTCTTTTCAGGTGCCCCACCTCAACCAGAATGCCTGGAACAATCTGGAAAAGTACAGCCGCAGCTTGACCCACACCTACCAAAATGTCTATGTGTGCACGGGGCCGCTCTTTCTGCCCAGGTGAGGCTGAAACTAGGGATCCCCTTGCCACTCATCCTGTTCAGGTTTGCCCCTGTCTCTGTGTCTACACTGTTACATAGCTCTTCTGGTTTTATAGGTTTATGTCCCTGCCTCTGAGACCCCTCATTCTACTTCATAGGCAGAGACCTTTTGGGCACCTATGCAAACCACAAGGTTGGCATTCAAACCCACCAGCTGCTCCATGGAATCCTATACAGGGTCACTGAGTCGGAACCAACTCAACGAGACTTAACCACCTATATAATTCTCTGCCCCAGCACACTCCTGCTTCCCTCTACTCTAGCACCATTTCCCACAACTACCCCACTCCTGTTCTGCCCTTCACAGGTTTCTGACTGCAGCAAGCTCTGCTAGAGCCTTCTCTCTTGTCCCTTTGTAGCTCTGCCTCCCAGCTGGAACTGAGTTCAGTGACTTTCCAGGGATGAGTGTGGCAATAGGTTGTGGCTCTTGAGTCCAAAGGCCCTATCTAGATCCTGAATAACCATGAGCAAGTGACCTGTGAGACTGTCCTCTCCTATAGAATGGGAGTGTGGCTGTCACCTGCTTAATCCAGGGCCTGGCAAATAGCTGGCCCTTCTGGCCTGGAGAGGAGTGGACTCTGTTGAGAAGCCCAGATGTCATTCATCCAATGTTCTGGGCCCTAATACATGCCATAGCCCAAGCTGGGAATTCACCTATCACCATCCTTACCTAATTGGTGTCTTATTTTCCATAGGAAGAGGCAGACAGTTAATCAGATGTTATATTGGGATGAGTATGAATGTTCACAAGGCTTGGTTATCTAACAGTATTTATTGTCTCTTACTCTGCCTGACCCAGGGCTGGGCATGAAAAAACAGTATGAAAGTTAGTCTACTCTAGAAGAGTGATCCCAGCCTTGAGGTGAAGCCAGATAAGGCATGGAAGACTCACACTGACACTAAATGAATAGAGACTGAGTCAGAGATTTCCTGGAGGTAGTAGCCTTGGGTCCAACCTGGCCCCAGCCTTCCAAAAAGTGCTGAAAGAATGTGTGTTTGCCCACAGGACAGAAGCTGATGGGAAGTCCTACGTGAAGTACCAGGTAATTGGCAAGAACAATGTGGCAGTGCCCACACACTTCTTCAAGGTGCTGATCCTGGAGGCAGCAGGTGGGCAAATTGAGCTCCGTTCTTATGTGATGCCCAACGCACCTGTAGATGAGGCAATCCCACTGGAGCGCTTCCTGGTACCCATTGAGAGCATCGAGCGGGCCTCAGGGCTACTCTTTGTGCCAAACATCTTGGCACGGGCAGGCAGCCTCAAGGCCATCACAGCTGGCAGCAAATGAGGGCGGTGGCCGACCAAAACTGGAATTATGGGACTGGGTTGCATTAAAGTTGGTTATTTTTGAAGACATGTTTTGGCTGCATCTGTTCAAGTGACCCACACGAACCCTTGGCTTCACCATGGCTTCTCTGACATCGTGACAAAACCTTCAGCTAGGCTGGGCTCCTGCCTGGGTGAGGCTGGGCTGCAGAGCAGCCAGGGAGATCAGAATGGCTTCCTGGAAGAGAGTAGGACAATGGGCTGGGGCCTGAAAGGCTGGGTGGGCCAAGGCTGGCTAGGTTCTCCAGCTCTCGGTTTTCTTTAGTGCCTGACAGCCCAGGATTCGGCTCTTTGGGGCCTGCTATCCCCAGCAGGGCTATGTGGAGGTTAAGGACAGGCCTGGCTTCTCTCAGTTATGTGCCCTGCCAGGGAAGAGCCTTACCATCTCTGTTCCTTAGCCTGCCCCTCTGCAAAATGGGGTAATAGTAGTAACACTCATCTCCCAGGATCACCTTTCCTTTCCAAGGAAGTTGACCCTTAGTACTAGCGCTGGAGGCTGGGAGTTAGAGTTTCTGGCATGTAACCTAGTGTAACCTGGTGTCCACAAGCCCCTCTGGGACAGGTAGACTGATGCTACCACCCTGGTGAGTCACCACCTCAAAGTGGCTTCACAGATTCCGAGTCTCAGACTGAGAGGTATGTACTGCACCCCTGTACAGAGGTGCAGAGCAGTGAGGAGCACTCCTGAGCCCAAGAGCAGAGGGCCGCCACTAAGACCCAGGATACCTCACTTCCAGCAATACTGGCATTCTGTCTGTACCTCAAAGCTCCTGCAGTAAGAGGCAGCAAGGAGACCATCTCCAGAAAAGGCTGGTTCAGGAAGGGCAGGGAGGGCCACAGAAGAGAGTTGCAACCCCAACCTCCTTTGGGGAGATCCTAAGGCATGCCTCTGGCTACCAACATCACAATGCAGGTGGCTGAAGCTTAGGAAGAGCCGGTGACTGGAGTGCGTGGTGGTGGGCAGGCTTACCTCAGTGCGGATAGTACGGCTGCCCTGGCTTGGGCAGGTATTGACGTACAGGTCGAAGAGGACACTGGGTTCAGCTACTTCTAGGTTGGGGTCAGCATCCACTCCAGCTTCTAGCCCCTGGAGGCCCCCAAACACCACGAGGGCATGCCTAATACCCACAGTGGTAGGGTGGGAAGGGAACACTGTTCACTAAGGCCCCATTGAACAAAGCCCTCAGAGCTCTCAGCCCCCATGCACATAATAAGGGCCTGGTCTGCACAACTTTGCCCCATCAGGCAGGTTCCCCAGCTCTAATCCTTTGCTAGCCCCCTGAGGCTGTGCTCACCTGAAGCCAGGGAGCTTCCCCCCCCCACCCCCACCCCCCAGCACACACCCTGGGCCATGCTCACCTGAAGCCAGGGAGCTGGGCAGAGGCCACATCTGTGCCTCGCTCTGATGTCCCAATGGTCAGGTCATAGCCATCCTTGAAGGGGGCCTCAGCAAACACAGCACCTGAGGATGGGGCTGACTCAGTGGGGGTCCTAATCACCACCAGCCTCTTAGCTTTTAGTGTATATTGAGTCGGGGAGAGATGGAGAAGGGTACTTCGGTAAGGGAGCAACCTCCAGCCTGCCTATGGCTCCTGGGAAGCCAGGGCCATCTTGGCATAGAAACTTGGTGGGGTAGAGACAAAACTGCTTGAGACTGGGAGAACTAGAAAGAGGCTCCAAGAGTGTAGTGGATCGGGCCCTTTTGTTTCTATCCCCAATCTCACAACCGACATTACTAATCAACTGTGCAACATTTCTCAGAAATCCTTAACAGCACTCCCGGCAGCAGAGTGCAGTGCCATCCCGGACCATACAGACAAGAAGACCAGGTTTAGAAATGGAAAAGCACTTGTCTAAGGAGAAGCTGGTAGGATGATGACTCCAGTCTGACTTTAAGAGTTAAACAAAGGTCTCTGCTGCCTCCCAGTGGGATGAATGGGTTAGTAGGAGAAAACCTGGTCCTTACTGAGGCAGGAAGCCAGCCGGACAGTGTAGCCCCAGTAGAGACCGGCTTTGGTACGAGGGTCCTGTGATGATACAACTCTTCCACGGTAGGTCTTGCTTTCTGGAGGGGAAGCAGAATATCTGTGAAGACTAGGTAAGGGGGCAACAAGGTGGAAGTTGGTGGCTGAGCCCTCAGGTCAGTCAGGCCATCACAAGAGTAGGAGAAGCTTCCCAATACCTGGGAGCTGCTTCTGGTTCAGTCGCACGGTCACTCGGAGTCCAGGCTCCAAGTTCTTATCAATCTTCACCTCCTAGGAGAGAAACCAGAAGAAATAGGAGCCATACCATGGGATTAGCAAGGAGTCACTGCTCTCCCAGATGCCAGAGATCTGTGGGGTAGACAAGGGACCCTCTCCCCCTTTCTCTGGCACCTGGGCCAAGCCTGTCCACAGGTGACTGCCAACCACATGAAGACCCGCCCCCTACACAGGGATGGCATCGTAGGAAGGAAGCATCTTAGGAATAGGTGAAATCCTGGCTTTTAGTGTGGTGGCTCTGCTAATTACTAGCTTTAAGAATATGAGGTCACTTTACCTCTCTGAGCTGGAGTTTCCTCATCTGTCAAACAAAAAACTTTCTATCAACAAAAGCTACTATTAAAACACTGTCCAGCTCCTGACATGAACTAAGTGCCCAATACATGGAGCTGTTCTGAATAAAACCGGTGTTTGTGTTATGTGCAACTTTTGAATGATCACTTTTTGAAGGCACTTTTTAGTATGTGTGTCCATGCCATCCTGGTTTACTTTTAGCCAATGGTTTTTGGCCTGTTTATTTGGTGAGGAGGGGATTCTACACCTTTAAACATTTCTACCTTTTACCCAAAGAGACTTGAAATTAATGCTTCCAACCCTTGGCTTGGTCCTTCATCCTACCTAGAGTGATTCTGAATTTTGTGTGTCTCTTTTGAGCATGAAAACCATTGTCTGCTGTTTTGCTTTTTCTAACCACAAATTCATTCTCAGCTTCATCTATTGTGCCCCATTTTTGACACTTCTCTGGCCCACAACTGAGTTAATGGGGGCTTTGGAGGCGAAGATGCCTGGGTCCAGGGCTCCTCACCCATGCACCTGGCCTCCTCTCCATAGCCAGATGTATCCATGTTCTCATTCCTACCTTTTTCATGCCGCAGTTGACAAAGGAACCATGGCCTGCCCGGGTGGGCCGATCTAGCACAATGCCCTCTCGGAACTGGGATTCCTCATCTTGCCGCATGTGGTGAGGACTGTCCAAGGGGTTCAGTAGCCCTGTGGGCGGGGAGGGCCCAGGAGTCTGGGAGATGCTGAAGAACTGGGGTGTGGCAGGGGACCTGCTGTTTAACATCAGCACAGACCTCACCATGCCCATCGTGTCAGGCCTGTTTTCCCAACTACACAGTGGGTGGGTTAAGACAGGATAATTTCTCAGTGATTGGGGGACCAGCCACAGGAAATGGAAGTAAGACCTGCCTAGTTTTACCTGCAAACTGTAAATCCTGGTGCTTGGGGAAGAATGCCTTCCTCAGGTACCTAGAAAAGAACACCAGATTTTAGGACGTTCCCAGTGGAGGCCGCCTTGACCTTGATCTGCACCCTGACCACTCCTCACTCATGCTTGGGAAAGTACACCCTCTGTCCTCCTTACTGTGGGCACTCCAGGTATTGCAGGATTCGGGCCAGCTGTACACACGCCTGCCCCTTCTTGCCGACTCCCATGAAGTCCCCTTCCACAGTCCTAGAGAGAAAAAGGTGGGTCTTGAGACCCTCTTGTGTTTCCAGCCTCTCTCTAGAGCTCCTCCCATGCAGTTCCTCTGCAGTCAGTGTCCCAGCCTCGCAGCCCTACCCACTAGTGATTACAATGCAGGCATTTCAGGTAAGTAGGCAGGGGGCAAGGCCAGGCCACAGGCAGCCCTGAGTCCTTAGACAGAAGGACTTACTTGGTATCTTGGCCTTCTTCGTCAAACACCACAATCTCATCCACACAGAAGATGGCGCAGGCTCTAGCAATCTGGCCAGCCAGGTAGGTGCGAAGCTCAGGTGACTGGGCGTTGTCTAGGATGGAGCCCGGCAGGGCCACGCTCAAGGTATACGACCGTCCTGGGCAGGAATGGAGGATTCATGGTCAGTCAGAGGGGCCCCACTTACTCCTCCTTCCCTCTGCCCGCAGGGCACAGAGAGAATTTCCAACTAGAAGTAACTGTGAGATTGGTAAAACAGATCCAATTCCCATTTCCCAGGATGAAAATGGACTCAGTGCTCTCCAAGGCTCCTATTTTCCACAACAAAGCCCTATGCCTGGGCAAGGAGTGGTTAGAAGCATTGGCGCAAATTCACATCACTCTAGGATTATTCCAGTAGGATGAAGGACCAAGGCAGGGTTGGAAGCATCAATTTCCCATCAATTTACTCTCCAGTGTCTTTGGGTGAAAAGCCCCTCACTGCCTCAGATCTCCAGCTGTAAAATGGGGGTTATGAGAGTTACTCTCTTTTAAAGTATTAATAAGCAGGAAGGAATTACAAAAGGAGCCGTGGTGGTGCAACAGATAAGCACTTGCCTACTAACTGAAAGATCGGTGGTCTGAACCTATCCCCTGGGTCCCACGGAGAAAGACCTGGATCCTTGATCCTATAAAACATTGCTCATCCTATAAAACAGTTCAGACTCATGGTGGTAATGGTCATGTGCCGTGGAGTCGGTTCTAACTCATAAGCTACCCTTACAGGGTTTCCGAGGCTGTAAATCTTTACGGGAGCAGAAAGCCTCATCTTTCTCCCGTAGTAGTTGGTAGTTTCGAACTGCTGACCTTAAGGTTCGCAATGTGATTCATAACCACTATGAAATGACCCTGTATAGGGTTTCCAAGGAGCAGCTGGTGGGTGAACCACTGACCTTGTGGTTACCAAGTCAGTGCTTAACTAACAATGCCACATCAGGGCTCATAAAAGATTGTTGTTGTTGTTAAGTGCTGTCAAGTCGATTCTGACCCATAGCGACCCTCTAGAGGGTTTCTGAGGAGAAGCTGGTGAGCTTGAACCGCCAACCTTGCAGTTCACATGGCTTTGCAGTGTGGCTCATTAACCCATAGCACCACACCAGGACTCCCATAAAAGATTAGAACCTAGAAAAACCTATGGGGACAAAATTCATAAAGGTGAGGAAAACAAGAATGGAAATAAGAAACAGAGAAGAAGTAGGATGCTGTTGCTGCTAAGTGTCGTTGTGTTGGTTCCAACCCATAGCAACCCTGTATAGGGTTTCCAAGGAGCAGCTGGTGAGCTTGAACCACAGACCTTGTAGTTAAAACGGCTTTGCAGTCTGACGCATTAATCCACAGCACCCCACCAGGACTCCAAGAAGTAGGATAAGTGACGCTATATTGAAGGGCATGGTATGATCTGTTGAATGTAAAACTGATGATCTCACTCAACTCACAATAAAAAGTTTTGAAAAAGGAGAAGTTCTACTCTGTCACATGGGGTCACAGTGAATCAATAACTGACTTGACAGTACCTACCAACCACCATCAAATCACTCTTTCATGTGTGAAACTGATAGATGACACATCCAGTCGTTGTCTGCACTATTTGCATCATTACTGGTCAGTACCAGGCTCTACAACAGTCACATGGAGATCCCTGACCCTCCACAGTTAGGGGTCTGGCGAAGGAAAAAAACCACAATTTGCTAGGATAGATCCAGTCTTACTTATGTGGAAGAACATCTAGACATAGTGTGGAATGGGAAAAACCAGGTTCCAAAAGACCATGGATAAAAGGGTCCCACTTTGTAAAATTATACTTATGTATCTTTCTACATGGGATTCCTGGTGTGGCACTGTGGGTTAATGCTTCAGACTGCAAACTTGTTTGAACTGCAACGTCAGTGGTTCAAGCTCACCAGCTGCTCTTTGGAAACTCTATACATGGTTGCTATAGGTCGGAATTGACTCAACGGCACTTAACAACAATCTTTTACATGTATAGAGAGTGCCTGGACAAACCTTCACCAAAGTGCCTAAGGGCAGTTTTTCTTTTTTTTTTATCATTCTCAGTATTGGTTTGGGCATTTTGTTTTGAGTATGTATGGTTTATAATGAGAAAATCAAATGAGGTATTTTATTATGAAAACCAAAATAATTAAATGAAAATACAGCATTCATAAAGAGCTCAATAAGACAGTAAAAAATTAACTACCACTGTGATGATAAGATTCTGAAGTTATAAAATATGTGATTGATGTTTGTCCCTCCCAAAGCTTGAAATCTGCCTAAGTAGGAAGTTAGGACACAATTTGCTGTGCAATCTAATCTGGGAACAATCCCTCCCTATCTGGACCTGAGTTTTTCAATCAGTATAAGATGCTTGGGATGTTTGGTGTAAAGGCCCAGGCTTTAGAGGACAGACACTGCAGGTGGCTCACCCTGGTCTTCCCTCTGCAGAGCTGCCTCCTCCTCCTCCTGTTGTTTTGCCTGTTCCTCCTGTGCCCGCTGCCGCTCAAGTTTTTTAATCATTTTGAGGTCCTTCCATTTCTTTTTCTCTTCTTTTTCTGGAGACGAGAAAGAGAACATCCGGATTGGGGGAGGGGAGCGGGCCTGGGAGGGGTTGAGGGTCAGTTTCCTCAGAGAAGGGCTCTGCCCTGGCTCTGTAGTCCACTGGGTGAGCAGCCAGAAGGGAGCAAGGGGAGCTTCCCAGGTTTTGATTGCTGTGGGACCAAGAGGTGGCACAGCTGTAGGCACACACACCCCCCCCCCCCCGCAAGGCTCAGGTGTGCCAACTGCTAGTGTGGTCTGATGGAAGGAGTTGCCACCAACCTCTCCCAACTTACTTTGTTTTTTCCATTTCCGCCACTCAATCCTTTGACCATGTTCACCCTGGAGTAGGACAGATAAGGCAATTAGGGGTGTGTGTGTGTGTGTGTGTGTGTGTGTGAGGCTGAATGGTCCCACCTGAGCAGATGTCCCACCTGCTGCTCCCCTGCCCTCTGTCTAAACACCGGGGTAGTGAAGTAATCAGGGAGCCCCATACATTGCTGGCTCCGAAAGAGTGTCAGTACACCCCCAGTACCTGGAACCAGGCCTGGCACATAGTACGCTCGAGTAATTGGTTGAAAGAGTTCCCACTGGGCAGAAATGTAGAGTCTCAGGGAATGAAACCTGCCTACAGTTGTCCTGGGAATCCGGAGACGAAAAGAGAGAAAATCACCACTGACTGCGAGCAGGGATGCACCTCCCGAACCCACTCTCCAGTCAGAATGCCTACAGAAGGTCCCCGGCGTGGAACGTCTGACGTTGTGCCGCCCCGGTCCAGCTCCGACCCGAATTCCCACTTCTAGGTGTCCCAGCCGGGGCATGCGCATCCCTGAGCATGCGGCATCTTTGGCGCTTCCGGCCTCGCATTGGCGAGAAGCAGGGACCAGGTGGCGCGACCCCGCTACAGGACTCTGTGCGGTTAGTTCTCACAGACCCTCCCCAGCCTGGGAAGGTGGATGTTTCCCACCAACAGTCACCTACCGGACCACAGGGCCGCTTCCCCAACCGTTCCGCCATGTTTTCCACACACTACAGACCACCCCCTTGCCAGTATGACTCACCTCTTCCGGCCACACCCCCACCGGGCTGTCCAATTGGAGCAACACTGGCGCATGGGGGCGTGACCGTGGCGCCCAGTGGTTGCACGTGCACTTAAACTAAACCTCACACGCGGGAGGTTAGCGCACAGGCGTCCCAAATGGGCTGTGTGTTGTCTCAGGCGTTGTTCCAACCCCTCAGAAGATTTGAGTCGTTCTCCAGCTCCGGAAGAGCGTGATCACACCAGAGTTGGAGTGTGACTTAAAAGGACCTTATGAGATAATTTCATCCAGTTATTTTATAGATTTATTTTTTAAATAAGTTTTGAGTCAACACATTCAATCAAAACAATTTATTGAGCAGCACTGTGCTTTACTGACTACGCAAAGGCTTTCGACTGTGTGGATCATGACAGGCTATGGGCAACATTGTGAAGTATGAGTATTCCAGAACACTTAATTGTGCTGATGAGGAATCTGTACATGGAGCAAGAGGCAGTTGTTAGAACAGAACGTGGGTACACTGAATGGTTTAAAACTAAGAAAGGTGTGCAACAAGGTTGTATTCTTTCACCATACTTACTCAACCTGTATGCTGAGCAAATAATCCGAGATGCTGGGTTATATGAAGAAAAATGTGGCATCAAGATTGGAGGAACAACCTGCGATATGCAGATGATACAACCTTGCTTGCTGAAAGTGATGAGGACTTAAAACATTTACTGATGAAGATCAAAGAGCACAGGCTTCAGTATAGGTTACATCTCAATGTAAAGAAAACAAAATCGTCACCACTGGACCAATAAACAACATTCTTATCAACGGAGAAAAGATTGAAGTTGTTAAGGACTTCATTCTTCTTGAATCAACTATCAACACATGGAAGCAGCAGTCAAGAAATCAAACGACATATTGCATTAGGCAAATCTGCTGCACAAGACCTTTTTAAAGTGTTGAAGCTTGAGGTCTAATCTAAGGTGCACCTGACCCAAGCCATGGTATTTTCAATAACCTCATATGCATGCAAAAGCTGGATAGTGAATAGGGAAGTCAGTCCATTTGGATGGACTCCTGATGACATGTCCAAAGTATATGATACCAAGTCTCATTATCTGCACTACCAAGGAGCGTTCTGGCTGTACTTCTTTCAAGACAGATTTGTTCTGACAGTTCAGGGAATATTCTTCACCATAATTCAAATGCATCAATTCTTCTCTTATCTTCCTTAATCATTGTCCAGCTTTCACATGCATATGAGGTGATTGAAAATACCATGGCTTGGGTCAGACATACCTTAGTCCTCAAACTGGTTTCTTTGCTCTTTTAACATTTTAAAGAGATCTTTTGCAGTAGGTTTGCCCAATACAACATGTTGTTTGATTTCTTGACTGGTGCTTCTATGAGCTATAAAGATTACAACCTTGGAAACCCTATGGGGAAGTTTTACCCTGTCCTCTAGGGTTGCTGTCTGTCACAATTGACATTGCAACAGTGAGTTTGAGGTTTGTTGTTGTTAAGAACCGTCAAGTGGATTCCGACCCATAGCGACCCTGTATAGGGTTTCCAAGGAGCAGCTGGTGAGCTTGAACCACCAACTTTGCAGTTCAAACAGCTTTGCAGTCTGACGCATTAACTCACAGCGCCACGCCAGGACTCCTGAGTTTGGGGTATATGGGGTCAAATTGACAACAAATTAGATGGAAAATTTAGGGGGCAACAAAAAAGGGGAAAAAAATCCTGATTCCACTCGTTTCTCATTTTGGGTTTTATTTTGTTGCGAACATATCCGATTTCAACCATTTCTACATGTACAACTCAGAGACACTGATTGCATTCTTCAAGTTGTGCAACTATCCTTATTCTCCTTTTCTGCATTGTTCCTAATATCAATCCACTGTCCCCCAAGGCTCCCATCTTATCTTTCAAGTTGCTGATGTCAATATGGTCTCGTGAGTTCTTAAAAGAGCATAATGCTCAGGGCTGGGTGAGGTTACTCAGTCTATATTTTTTACTGTTTGGTTTTATTAAGACTTCAGGGGATTTTCTCAGTTTAAGTGTTAAAAGATTATCTATGGACAATAGTTTCAGGGACACATCCAACCCTAAAGGGTACAGAAGTCTAGAGTTCATGAGGGTTTAAAATTCTGTTCTGCCTCCCACTTGCCCCTCCTGCCCTTTGGTCAGGATTCCTTCCATAGGCAGAGATCAAAATGTTCCGTAACAGCAACAGGGCACTATCCCCTTCCTCTAGTGTCATGGTAACAGTTAGCTGCACATTTCATAGCCTCCTCCCTCCTCTGATTCAGGAATCTCCTTCTTCCTCAGTTGTTACAGGAAATAGAGACCAATTGTTGAGCCTTGGATGGCTGCTTGCATGCTTTTAAGACCCCAGCTGGCATCCTGGTGTGGTACTGTAGGATAAACACTAGACTATAAGGTCAAGGTCAATTTGAACTGCAAGGTCATGAGTTCAAACTCAGCAGCCACTCGGAAACCCTTTATAGGGTTGCTATGAGTTGGAACTGACTCAGTGGTACCTAACAACAACAATAGTACGACCCCAGCTACTTAGATAAGGAAATAAAAGGTAGAACAGATCTGCCTCCATCTTTTGCTAGCTGGATGGCCTAAGGCAAGTCAGTTCATCTCCAAATATGGTTTCATTTCCTCACTTGTAAAAGGGACATAATAACTCCCTGTCTCAGGGCTGTTGCTGTGAGCATTCAATGAGATTTTAGATATGAGTACATAGGGAGTGCCTAAGCATCTGGCATGGAGGACTTGTGCAATGGATGTTAGCTACTTCCCCTCTGTCTAATGTTAGTCCCTGGCCCTCCTGGTTCTCACTAGGGCTTTTCTCTAAGCCTGTGGGACTGTCAGTGTCTTCCCGGTCAGATATCCAGGCCAGGCCCCCATCACCTACAAACACATCCAATCTGAACAAAGATAGGGTGTAACATGACATTCACTGATATTCCATCCATTTGACTAGGTCCTGATCAGCTCCAGAGTGTGAAGCAGAGAGAAGCAGCTGACAAGAGTTTGAGTTATTTGAAACTTTATTGTGAGCAAAAAGTACTGACTTGAGAATTCAAGTCTAAAGGCAATTTCTCCAGTCAAGGTTAGATGAGTAGAGGCAGGGGCCAGTGCAGGATTGTAGACAGGGCTGGGACTAGAGGCTTAAAAACGTATTGCAGGATCCTGCCCTCTGAGTCCCTGCCAACCCAAGGCCCTTCTTACTAACTGACCTAGAGAGGGACAGGGAGAGGCCCAGGTCATTTCAAGACCAGAGCATGAACACTATTGGGAAAAGACTCCTGGCTCCCCAAGACCTAGATGGGGAGGGGTGCTCTTCTCTGGGGACATTCTGGGTCACAGAAAAGAGGTCCTCCAACACCATCTATCCATAACCTGGGGATGGCTGAAACCTGGCTAAAAATGGATCCCTACACAGCAGGTAGAGTAAGGATGAGACCAGGACAAGGGTGCAACTTCAAGGTGTGAGCTCAGCCTTCCATTTCTGCAGCTTTTCATCCATGGCCTGGAGTGTGGCTTCATCCTACACCAACAGAGTTCAATGCTACTCCTCTTCCCAGGGAGCCTCAGGAAGCTTGAGGCAGCGGCCTTCCCTCCCCCAGCCCTGCCTTTTACCTTTATAAAGCAGAAGCGGATATAGTGATCAAAGTGCTTCTGATGAGGCAGACTGTAGAAGATTGAGACTGGGATGGCCACCAAACCCTGGGGAAGACGAAGCCCATATTTCAACAGAGCTCATGACCCATGGGCCAGACTCTCAGGTAAGAGAGGCACAGAAAAGTTCTCATGATGGGACAGGTGAAGGAACACGCCTCTAAGGCAGCACACCCTCCCAAGGTCAGAGGAAAAGAATTCCAGAGATCATTCCCAATCCCTCTTTGTAAAAGGGCAGATGAAGGCTGAGAGAAGGGAAGAGCATACAAACTATGAGTAGAAGTAATCCTTAGACTCACATATCAAAGCTGGAGAGATCAACTCTAATTTGTGCAGATGGGAAGACTGAGGCTCAAAAGTAGGGCAGGGTCTTCTGCCAGTCCCCATGGCATCTTGGCACAAGTTAAAAAATGGCTCCCCATTACTTCAAGTGGATGCAATCCTGCACCAGGGCTCTTGACAGAGTCTGGGCTGGAGTTTGATCCATTAGCCCCTTGGCTGGTACTCTTGGGCAGTGTACAATCTGTAAAACCATATATAGTAGCCCTGACAGAGACCAGCTCACCTTGTTCTTGCTCATCCACCTTACGAAGCGTCTGTCATAGGCCTCATCCTTGGTACCAGGTAAGTTGGGCATCTTGTTCTCTGAGGGACAGAGGCCATGTTGAATCCTGGGCAGCCTCTAGTCCATCAGTCCCTCATACCCTGCTCAGTAAGCCCAACTCACTGAAATCAGAGATGTCTGTGACGAGGAAGTAGCTACCCTGGGGGATGATGGGTCTCAGGCCCACTGACAGCAAGCTGCGTATCATGTGGTCCCGTTTATGCTGTGTGGCCTGTGGAAGCTGCACAAAGTAGCTGCTGGGCTGCCCAAAGTGCTGCTGCTCCCGCTCAAAGCTCATGGCTACTGCAGCCTGGGGCATGTGGGTGGACCAACAGATGCGTTAGGGGTGCCTGACCCTGTGGCCACCTCCCCCAACACTATGGGGTCCACTGCCCCTCCTCACCTGGGCCTGAGTCGGGCAGTGATAGATAGAATTCTGGTGTACAGTATGCAGGTGCTTCAAGAGACGATCTGGGCCCAGGACCCAGCCCACCTGGACCAGGAACACAGGTAGTGAGTGAGGCTCTCCAAGACCTGGCCAAACCCTTTCTCAATTCCCAGGCACCCCTTTCTTGGCAAGCGCCAAGAAACCACAGTGGCACCCCATTAACTCACCTTCCAGCCAGTGGCACTAAAGGTCTTGCCAGCACTGCCAATGGTCAAGGTTCGGTCCCACATGCCAGGGAGGCTGGCTGCCCAAGGCCAAAGAGAACAGCTGCTGAGATGGGGGGGTGGGAGTGGGTCCCAGGGGGCACTACAGGCTCTCAATGCTCAGGGATCTGACAAGTGCTAGCTGTTTACAGGACTTATTCTATCTCTTCCTCATGATCACTCAGAGAGGTGAAGTCACTGTCCAAGGTCACAGGACCCTGTGGCTTCAGATCCCTTAGTACTAATCACTAGGACTGTGCTGACCCCAAGACTAGGCTCAAGGCCCTGCCACTGGTAAAGCAGGCCTGGCCAAGCAAATGTCCAGCATCTGGGCTCACCGATGCTGATATGCTGATTCCCATCGAAGACCAGCCACTGGTAGACCTCGTCACTGATGCACAACACATCATGCTGCTGGCACAGGCTGGCCACCAGTTCCAGTTCTGCCTTGGAGAAGACCTGTGAAGACACCAGAGGAAACAAGCCTGCAGGCGGGACCTTCGCCCCACATCCTCTATGGGATCTGCTCCAAGAGGTTACAGGATACAGCCAAGCCTGCTGCTTAAGGTTTTCCCTGCATTATCCCACTGCATCCCCATTGGCCTGTTGAGTTTGGTCCTGCCATGTTCCCTTTTTACAGATGAGGAAACACTTCGAGAAGCACAGTCACTGTCCCAAGGTCACTGGGAAGTGATGGTGGCAACCAGCCTTAATTTAATGTTACTTTCCTTGGGGATTCTTGCCCCTCTCCCTGGGACTTGTAGGAGCCTCAGTCCTCAGACAGGATCTGAGGGCAGAGATCCAGAATGAGGTGAGACTGAGGGAGGCCCAGAGAATGCATTACAAGCAGCCAGTCCACTTCACAAATGAAACTGAGGCCCAGAGCAGGGTGGATTTGGTCACAACAAATAAGTAGCAGAGCCTAGACTTGAACTAAGTCTGGAGGGGTCTTGGGAAGGAGGTCCCTTAGATACCTTTCCCAGAGGGTTGTTGGGTGTGTTGAGGATCAAGGCTTTGGTGCGAGATGTGAACTTGCTGGCCAGCTCTGTGGGGTCCAGTTGCCAGCTGCTGCTAGAATCTAGTTCCCCATCTTGGGAGGGGTTCTGCAAGAGAAGGCAGGAAGGAGTAGACAATATTCAACTCCAGGGATTTGGTCTTCTTCTCCACAGCTTCTATCTCTACCCCCTTTTCTCTGGGTTCTGGGCCACACCACGGTCTCATCTCTGAGGAATAAGCTTCCTTCCATTCATCCTTTTTTCCTGTTTACTAGGGTCCAACGTGGACCCTAGTGGACCTGCACCCCACTCAGGATCCTTACCAGCTTCAGGGGCACAAACACGGGGCGCCCCCCTGCCATCAAGGTCATGGGCTCATAACAGTCAAAAAAAGGTTCCATGATGATCACCTGGAAAGAAGGGCCAGATGAGCTGGAATCATCCTTGCCTTGGTCCCTCACCCAATCCTGCCCAACCCTTGCCCACGTACCTCATCTCCTTCATCCACCAGGGCCTGGAATGCTGAAAAGAGGGCACCATAAGCACCCACAGTTACCAACACATTCTTGAGCGGATCTATTTCCTGCCCTAGCAGCTTCCCGAAGAAACCTGCCAGGACTTTCGTCAGCGGTGGATAACCCTGCCAAGACAGCAGAGGTCAGTAACTTCAGTCACCTGAGCCCAGCCTGGACCCATCCACCCTCCCACTCAGTTAGATTCAGGTGATTGCCCCACCAAGGCACTGGGCCTTTTCTGTGCCAGGCCCAGTGTCCAGGACCTTGTACATGTCCTCATGGAGTAGAGCTGAAAGGAGCTTCTGAAGTGGTGGCAACTCCACACTTTTAAACAGATCCCTTCGCAGATTAAAAAGCATGTTTATGCTCATCTGATCCTCCTAGGAGCCTCTGTTTGACAGGCAGAAATTAGAGACCCGGGGAAGGGAAGGGAAGGGAAGAACTTTCCCAAGGTCACATGCACAGTTACAGCTTGTTGTTGTTAAGTGCTGTCGGAGCCAGTTTGGACTCACAGCAACCCTTATACAATATCTGAGGCTTTAAGTCTTTGTGGGAGCAGAAAGCCTTGTCTTTCTCCAGAGCGGCGGTGGGCTAGAACCATACACTTGGTGGTTTGTAGTTCAGTGCTTATTATATGGGGTCACTGCACTACCAGTTAAGACTTAATAGGGCCTTATGATGTAATTTTGAAAGCACCTCACTTTGGGAGGAAAATTAGATCTGTAAGTTTCTATATTGAGGACACATATGAAATACACAAGGACACTTATGAAATACACAAGGTTAAGTCAAGTGACTAAAATCAAAGGTCTGGCGCCTAACTAAGCAACTTACTTAACCAGATTTGAACAGGTAAGAATTAAATTTTCTTACACAGTATAAAGTACCATGAAAAAAAAATTAAGACAAAGAGGAAATAATTGCAACATAAGAGATAAGACACTTTATAAAGAGGTCTCACTAAACAACAAGACAAAGATATACACCATAATGAAAACCTCTAAATGATCAAAGGTAGTTTATGAAATAGAAAATGCTGATGTCCAATGTGCAAATGAAGAGAATAATGGTCAAAGAAAAGCAAATAAAAGGAACATTAAAATAGTGCTGTAATATTTTAAGAATTAAATGTTAAAATAAGCAGAGTAAGGAAGTATCAATGCAGTCTATCCCCTCTGTACACAGGATAGATAGGGACAGACAACTTAGACATTGGCTACCTAAAATGAGGGGATGATAAAGGCACAAAGTGACTGGATTACAAAGTTTCAAGAGGGAGTTTAGTTTAAGAGTGTGTGGAGGAAGAAAGAGTCCCCACTGAATAGTTTTCATCTTGTCTAGATGGGTCTGGTAAATAGAGATGGGGATAAGATTCTTATGATTCAATAGTGAGTAATTGTTATTATGACTAATTGCGACTGTCACAATTGTAAAGTCAGAAGTTTTGTAACAAAAACAGGGGAGTGGTTAATCTTACTGTCCAGAAACTGAGGACCCTAGGACCATCAAGGGAGAAGAGCACAAATGGAATGCAGGACCTTATCCAGAGAGACGGTGACACCAGAGACGGAGGCTGAGATGGGGTCATGGAGAGGGGAAATGGCTGGGGACTCTAGATTCATGGGAAGAGAGGGACTAAGAGCTGCGTCCAGGAGGCAGACTTGCTAAATGTGCTGTTTGGATGTGTAAATTATTATTATGCCTGAGTATTTATTTGTTGTTGTTGTTTCTTAAAAGAGCTAAAGTATATATAGAGAAATACTGTTAACTGATAGTACATGGAGGAGATTATAATCATTGTAATGGAACAAGGTGTATAATTTGTTTAATGTAAAACAGATGATCTGCCCTGTAAACTTTCACTCAATCCACAACAAAAACCTTAAAACAAAAGCAGAGTAAGGGAGAAATGAACCCTCTCTCTGGCCCAGGAAATGAACTCCCCAGTCATTTATTTATATTTTAACAAACAAACAAACAAACAAACAATAAAGCAAATCTCCTAAAGAGGTGTGTGCATGTAAGTGTACATGAAATGTGTGTTTGTGTAGGCATTTTAAAAATTTTAAAAGTCTGTAACACTCTATAGCAAACTACAGACAATGGCTCTCTTTTAGGCAGTGGAGCTAGAAGGACCTTCTCTCTAGGTAACTCGAATGCATACTGAAGTTTAAGGACCATTGCTCTAATCCAGGGGTAAATATTTACTATCTGGCCCCTTAGACAAAAAGTTTGGATTGGGAATCTAGCCTAATCAACAGTTTGTTTTTAGGACTCAGCTTAGATATCACCACCTGCAGGAAGCCTTCCTGGACCCACCACCTCTATGATATTCTCTCCTTACTGCTCCCACAGTACCTCCTCCTCCATCCCAGCATTTATCAACTGACTTTGTCATGTCTGCCTTCCCCACTAGACCCAGAACTCCTAGCATGGGCCCCAGAACAGGAGAGCACTTCCATGAACACTGAACTATGGCTGGTTTGAATTTTTTGGCTCTGCCCTAAGTCCCCTCTGGTCATTGATGTGAGTTTCAAAATCCTTGATACCTGTGTGAGCTAAGCCCCCAGCTCCTCCCCACCAGGACCTCCCCAGCAGCCAGTGTCCAGGAACCTGGGAAATGTCAGGAGACTCACAAATGCCTTGGTGTACTGGTTGAGCATGAAGTCTCCAGTGACGGCATGCCGGAAGGCTTCCATGGCGAAGTCTGGAGGTGCGAAATCAGGGAAACCCTGGCCCAGGTTCACGGTCTCATTTTCAATGGCCAGTTTGGTAAACTCCACCCTGAGTGGCAGAGAGTTGGCACCAGTTCACCCCTCCACCACGACCTGAGCTTCTGCTTGCTTCCAAGGCTGGGTGAGGAAGGCACCTGTTCTAGAAAATCAGCTGAGCTTCCACCCCCTGCTTGGAGATCTGTGTAAGGCTCATACTAGTCCCTTGCTGTGAGTTTAGGTGACTGGGTCCTATGCCAAAGGCCTGTATTAGACAAGGGCTTTCATGCTTTTTAGACCTCATGTGAGGCATAGTAAGAATTAATCTTTACATCACAAATCCTGTGGAGCAGAAACCCAGAAGCATCATCCTTCTAGAAGTGATCTATTTATTACAGTATTTTCTATACTCTCTTCTCCTTCAAAAATACATTTTGAAGCCCTACCCACTTAGGCTTAGAGTGAGTCCTTAGAGCCTTTTCAATAACAGACTTCCAAAAGGCTTTTAATATAGTTTTAATTGCAGTGGAATTTTCAGCTGACTGAAACTAAAGTGAATAAAATGTTAAAGTCCATGTCTATGACCTTCACTGCAGGGACAAAAGTCTAGGTTAGTCAACATTCATTTCTGTAGAAGATAGGTTATCCTCCTAATTTCTTAAAACCCGAAGTCTTTAAAAGTGTGCCTCAAGCTTCTCATCTTGTGGTTGTGCTGGCTCTTTCCGTGCCCACAGGTTTGGACTAGGTGTCTGACTGTTTCCCTCCATCTTTCTCTGAAGCAAGTGCTGTGGTAAGCACTGACATGTGACAATGATTGTTAGCCTCTGGCCTACAGAGATTTCGTAACTCCTGGGAAAGCTACTTAGAATCAGTCTGTCCTTTTCAGGAACTAGAAATTGAGAGTAGTTAATATCTGTAGGAGTGATCCTCTGAGGGCCAACACTGTTGGGACATATTTGGGAACAATTAAATTCTGAGCTAAATGTCATAGAGTTATGTGAATTTATTGCACTGATACTGTAAAACTTGGACCTTGTGGTATATCTGTCCCTAAATAAATATGTCCCCCTCTCTATACTACTGTAGACAGTAGTGCCCATGTAGCATGTGGGTATTTTTAATATTTCATATGAAAATGACCTTCATTTCATGTGTTTCTTCATTGTATATAAGCCTGTTATCTTACCTGGGTATTTCTGTGTGTGGGTTCTACTGATGTTCTACTGATGAACTACTTTTACACTTTCTGTATTATTTCTTCTACTTTGTTTTATGTAAAAGGAGAAAAATAAAAACGCAAAAATCTGGGGGGAAAAAAATGCATTTTGAACTGCCGTAAGTGGATTTCAGGACTCCTGGTGTGGCGCTGTGGGTTAATGTTGTAGACTGCAAAGCTGTTTGAACTGCAAAGTTGGCGATTCAAGCTCACCAGCTGCTCCTTGGAACCCTATATAGGGTTGTTATGGGTCGGAGCAGACTCGGTGGCATTTAACAACAAGTGGATTTCATGACCCACTAGGGCATTTGTCAAAACCAGAACTCTAATCAAATAATCTTCCCAATAATCTTATAAGGCACATACTCTTCCTGGCTCACTATGCAGATGGAGAATCTGAGAGTCACAGTGACTTTCCCAAGGTCTCTCTGTTAGGGCAGGACAGAGCTAGGCTTTGATGCTATATCTGTCTGAAATGAAGTTTATGCTTTTGGCTACTACCTTGGGCAGAGAGGGACCCCACCAGCCCTGGCCCCTACCATTCCTGACCCCCAACAGTCTTTCTTCTGGCCCTGCCTGAGGACCAAACATTCAGAGAAATACAGAGGATAAAGGGTGGATGAGGGGCTGGTATGCAGTTCCCAGGTAGCTGGGGGCAGAAGAGTCAGGCTCAAGCTCCTGTGAATGGATCTGCATAGCAATAAATAACACGTATATCTAAAATTCGCCATTTTCTTCCCACAGCTCCACAATGTCTTTGAAGACAGACAGAGCTGCTGAGGCTCACAGAGGGCAGTGACATAGAGTCACACAGCAGCTAATGGCAGAGTTGAGAATCAACATTAGGTGGTTGATGTTCTACAGTAGATGGAGCTAGGAGTTGGGGGAGATGGGTTCAAAGGGCCTCGAGAAACAGGTTACCTTCTAGATTGGGGTCCCAGGGTCCTGGCCCCCAGACCCTAGGGTCAACAGGAGGGTGGGGCTCTCGTTTGCCCTAACCCAAATGACCATCAACTCCTCACTGTGTTCTTCCCAGACCAACTCCTGCTCTGCCCCTGCCTTTGCATAAAATTTCGTATCTCCTGGCCTCAGTCTCCCTCTTGTACACTGGTCTTACAGTTTCTAACACTCTGCTGAGTTGATTTGTGAGTCAGCAAGGAGTCCTGCTGCTTTTCTCAACTTGCCTCTCAATGGCTTCCTCCCTCTGTGCTACATTTTACCATCTCTGAAACATGGGGTCACCTGTCTGATTAACGTGCCTCACAGAGAGGACTCAAGAAGATGGAGGTAGATTAAGTGTGAAATAAAATTATCCTTGGCAAGTCCTTATAGCCTGGTGCCTGGCTCATGGAAGTGGCCAGAAAGAAACTATTGCTATTATACAGTATTTCACATTCTCCTCCCAAGGGGCCTTCAAGGTAGGCATAGTTAGCTCTATTTGGAGTTGGGTGCTGAGACTCAGAGCTGAGGCTCACTAGCCCCAGTGTCTTAGATAAGCAAGGTGAAGCTGAGATCAGAACTAAGCCTGCTGCCTTGGACCAGTCTCCTTGACTGTGGCTGCAAATCTTGCAGACCATGCAAGGCACCCACCACAGCAAAACCTGACCCGCCCCTGTGCCCGAGGGGGTACCACACACAGCTCACCAGGGGTTCTTGTCAATCCCGTCCAGTCTTCGGGCATGCAGCCGCTTGGCCATGATGACCTGGAGGCAGTGAGAAGGTGATGAGGTTTTATTCTGGTCTGGCTTTGGGAAGGTTTCTGGGAATAGCCTCAGCCCTCCCACATCCTGGGAGGAAGCAGAGATCAGAGCTTCTAGACAGTGAGGGTGGTCACTGATCTGCCTCCCCGACCTGTCCAGACAGGTGCCGCTCCCTTTCTGTCAGTCATCAAACCGCCCACATGTGGAACCGACAGACCCAGTCTCCCATGGGAGAGTTGGGCCCCTCCCAAGGCAGAGCCCAAATTTGGCAGGTTAAGACTTGTTGGAGGAAGGACGGGATGATGAGGAGCAGCAGGAGGAAGTGAGAAGGGGAAGGAGAAGGGCAGTATGGCTGCAGCTCCCATTTACAGAGGTCTTGCTAAGCTTTCCCCTTTAATTCGCAGGACAAATGCAGACAGTATGGCTGGGCCCATTTTACAGATGAGAAAATGAACGATGTGGGTAGTCACACAACAAATGTGCTCAGATTCAGGTCTGTTTGACACTGGTCATGTTCTGACTCAGGAGACGGGGACAATCTCAGTCTCGGGAGGGTCTCAAGGGTCCTCACTCCCCACCTCCTCTCCTCCTCTTGCATTCCTCCCAAGACAACTTCCTCCTCATCCTCAGGTATACAGTCACTGGCTGGGTCTGAGAATCACCAAACTCAGGTCCTAAGCCTGCCGTGGTTGGGTGATATGGGCTGGTGACTGAGCTTCTCTTGGCCTCAGTGTCCTCATCAGCATAGACTCTGGGCCCCTCAGTCATCTGCCCCAAGATGGCTAGTACATAGTAGAGCCAGGTCTCTGACATTAACTGTGGCTAACAGGGACCCCTCACTGTGTCCTTCCTGTGCTCATGATCTCGCTCAGTCCCCACAGCCCCATTAGGAGGTGCCATGATAGAACATCCCCATCTAACAGATGAAGACACTGAGGCTTGAAGAGGTGCAGAGACCTGCCCAAGGTCAGCAGAACAGCTGGCCAGGACTCTAGTCAGGATGACTGCAATAGCAGAGTTCAGAGCACTAGGCCCTTTGTTCTGGAGGGGGGCACCAGGGACCATCTGTACAAACGCCCCTTTTCCCTATAGCCTGGGCATCCTCTAGAAGTGAGTGACTTGCGAAGAACACAGCGTGGGGTCTGGCACCTAATGGGCACTTTGCCAACACTGGTACCCATCACCGTCACCAAGCCTGGCACTCAGTACACATCAAAACAGTTTAAAATGAGGGTGATCCCTGTCAGGGAAAATCACGTGCATAATCAAAATATAACTGATGGTTACCTGTGATTGACAGATTTTTTCTTTTGTTTCATTATAATTCTCTTATTACCCAAATTTTCTAAAATAAGTGTTTCACTTTTATGACCTTATTTAAAAGTGTAGGAGAAAATCACATATTAAATGAATATTTATTGATGTGATATACCGATATCAATAAAACAGGCTACGAAATAGTATGTACAGTATGATTCTGTTTTGCAAAAAAACACAACTAGTAACTCTTTGCATATACATGCATGTTTTCTACAAACATATATGCATAGACAACAGCTGGAAGGAAACATCAAAATGTTAGCAAAGGTTTTCTCTGAGTGGTGGGTTCATAAATCTTAATTTCATATATGCTTTTTTATGTTTTCAAATTTGTTACACAGAGAATACAGCATACTTGGATCAGTTCTAATATGTGCATTTTTTCACACTGTACTATCCCTGAATTCAGGTGCATCTAACAATCTGGTCCTTAAAATAACAGCATATATTACAACTGATGGTATCTGGGGTTTAAAGAGGTATGGAATTGCTTTTCAACAGAGGATGCATCATGTGTTTATAGAGAAAGGTGAGGAAGACTCAAGGATAGCAGTGGGGTAAGACGGAGGGTGGAAGCTGGAGTGAGAGTATGAAGAGGGCAGGAGCAGGAGCAGGGCACAGATAAAGAAGAAATGAAGAGGTGAGTAGAGCTAAAGAGGTTTAGGAAGAGAAAGAAATAATAAGGGAGCCCCAGAAACTTAGGGTGCTCAAAGGAGTAACCTTTAGTTGCATCAAGAAGTGCTTGGATAAGTGAGGAAACAGTGTCTGTTCTTGGGCTTGTATATAACGTATACATTCAGCCAATGTTTATTGAGCACCTACTATGTACTGAGCCCTGGGCTTGTACATCAAGGATGACGTGGGAGGCAGTAGCACCATGCAGATTACGCACATGCGAAGCAATAGCTTTCAAACTAGAGGCAAATGCAAGGTGTGTGTCGGGGGCTATCCAAGCTGCAGGCAAGAAAGGCTACCTGAAAGAGGAGACTACACATAGCTTTGAAGGCAGAGCAAAACCAGACCCAGGAACCCGAGGCCATGCGCGTGACAGAGTGGATGGGCTAAAGCACTTACAGTCTGGTGCAAGCACCGGGTGAATGAGGAGGCTCCAGCCTTCTTTCCCTGGAGGGGCCCCGCCAGGTGCACAAAGATGGCCGCCACATTCCTGAACATGCCTCCCTGAGCCACCGGACACTGCTGACTTCTCCAAGGGCAGAGAAGAAGGGAGAGAGTCCCAGACAAAAAAACGATTCCAAAACTCGGCCTTGAGTCCCACACACAGCTCTAACAACAACAATAATAATAATAATAATGGCTAATATTTATGGAATGGTCACTGCATGCCAGCTATGGCACCAATGCTTTGCTTTTGCATTATTATCCCATTCAAATCCTTGTATCAACCCAGTGACCTACCCACACAGCAAGCAGAGTGACCCTTTCAAAATGTAAGCACCTCTACTGAAAACATGATCCTGGTAAGGATCACTAACAGCCCCGAACATCATAGAGACAAGCTGACATCATATGCAAATCATTCCTGCTGAAGAAGTGAACCTAGATCAGATCACACCTCTGGATCCAGCTATCGGTTTACAGACAACACAAAGAAAGAAGAACATCAGAGATGCAATAAACACATTCAGACGGAGGGAAATTCTACAAAACAAACAACTTATTTCTTTAACAAATAAATTGCAAGAGGAAAGAAAAATGGCACTATAGATTAAACAAGAGTTAATATACATTTCTGTTAAGGATGATGGAAATTGTGGTGATAATTGTACAACATGACAAAAGTAATGAATGTCATTAAATTATACACATAAAAATGTTGACAAGGCAAATGTTTTGTAATATATATTTATCTCAATATATAAAAAAGGGAGTTAATAGAAAAATGTTTTTAAAGCCCGTGGTACCTTGATTTTACTCAATATGGCTTTTTTATCCAATGCCTTCTTAATTCCCACTAAGTGATTGAGAAGTATCATACAGGACTCTAAGGCTGGGATTGGTTAGTTTTGCCAGGTAGGTTGAAAAGGAACCATCTCAGAAGCAGTTAGGATGATCCCAGGTCCATCAATAAGGAAGAGGATGAGTGGAGAATGGGATTCCTACCTAGAAAAGCAGAGGCAATGGTAGAGGCGGTGGCATGGAGACAGAACAGTTATGGACTGAGTAAAGCTTCATGCCCAACGGGCAGGAGACTTGTTTACAGAATGTGCTCCTTGGGCATTCTCAGACTGCCTAAAAGAGCATTGTAACATTTGCCCAAATAGGACAGAGACAGCGGAAGACAAGAGTGAGGAATGTCCTCTGTATGGCAGAGAAGCAGCATTCCTGATTGGAAAACTGCTGTACCCTGAGTTGGTTTTGATTCTGAATTGTAACCTATTAGCTTGTCTAATAAACCCCCTAATCATGAGTATTGTTATGAGTTCTGTGTGGCTATTGCAATGGATTGTCAAACTGAGATGTGAAACAGAGAGTGCTGTGGGAGAAATGTCTGAATAGGGTAAAGAAAGCTGTGGAGTGAAGACATATCTGACTATCACTTCATAAGAATCAGCCTTGGGCTGATTTTGAATTTGATTCTCTTCCCATCTTGCGAAGCTAAAGTAAGTCAAGATATGGCTTCCAAAACCAATACCTTGAAAAAGAAGGACGTTGTAGGGCTCATGCTTCCTGATTCAAAGACAGGATGTGGAAGGAAAATACTACAAAGTAGATGCAGTGATGTAAAATGGCCACAAAAAATATTCCTTTCATGATAAGGATACAGAAACAGAGTCTCAAAACAAAACAGAGCAAACACTTGAGCTGTTGAGTATTTCCCTTAATCAAGCAATTCTGAAAGAGCCTTGGTGTTAATTCTTAGCACCAACTTCGGCCTCAAAGAATATGTTCCATCAGCTTTGACAATTTTTGTGACCTGTTCTGGAAAGAATATATTGTAAGCATTCTGATATAGGACTGCAATGTTATGTTGATCTTATTGCTGAGTGCTGTTGAGTCAGTTCTGACTCATAGTGACCTTGTATAGGGTTTCCAAGGAGCAGCTGGTGGGTTTGAACTGCTGACTTTGTGGCTAGTAGTACAGTGCTTATCCTACTGCACCACACCAGGACTCCTGTAATGTTACAGCCCCACAACAATAATAATACACAAATATACAAATACAAGTTTCACTGGTTTTGCTTCTCTAGAGAAACAAAATGATAAGGAAGGTTTCCTAAATTGTTCCTCAAGTCTGACTAGATTTAAAGGGACTGATAACTCTGTCTCCATTAGTAAAGAGTGTGCTAGCTATCCATGGCACAAGATGGTACTGAGCAAAATATTACCACCAATAGATCAAGTATTAGTGAGATAATGTATTTGATACTTTTCTGCAGGTTCGTTAGGATGAGATGTATAAGGAAGTTGATTGTTGGTCCCACTTATAATAGACCAAGTGGTAAAGGAAAGACACAAACTCAAAGCTTTGGAGTTACAGCCACAGTACTGCTCAAAGTTTCCACTTGTGCCCTGAAAGAAAGCCTCATTTCTTATAGTAACAGAGCTGACACTGCCAAAAATCAAACCCAGAGTCTTATGAGATTGGCTGAATTAGAACACCATTTGAATTCACAATCTCAAACGGTATCTGACGTTAGAGTGAGGACACTGAATAGGAAGAAATAGGATCCTGACACTTAGGATGGGGACATATGGGCGATTAATCAGGAAGCTGGGGACACTGGGTCTCTAAATTCTGTTGGATCGCTCTTGCCAACAGCACCACTCCCATCTGAAGAGAAAAGTATCCACCATGGGGTGACCCTGCTAGGTGTCTTTTTAGTAAACAAAATCTTTAGCAAGAGGGGTGGATCAGTGGACCCTTTAGTCAGTGCCCTTACTGTTGTTTCCTTAAGAAATTTAGCCTTGGTATCATGAATTATAGATGGATAACATTTGTTTGTATTAAATTTGAATCAGTAATAGTTGACGTGTGATACTGCTGCAGTATGCCCTTGAGTCGGTTCTGACTTGCAGCGACCCTGTATAGGGTTTCTGAGGTGGTAAATGCTTAAGGGAGCAGAAAGCCTCAACTTTCTCCCATGGAGCAGCTGGTGGATTCAAACTGCTGACCTTCTGATTGGTAGCCCAGCAGTTATTTTGTAATCATCTCATAAGGAGTCAGTTTATGTAGGCTAAAAGAAGTAGCATTAAATTCATTAGCATTAACGGAAAGGCTTGTGTAGTTAAGTTAGTCCCATGATCAATGTGGGTTTTGTCAATTGAGTTTTTATCATTTCATTAGCACTTGCTACAGGTTCAGAAGATTGGGGTGATAAGGACAAGAGTTTTTGAAAAATGGGAAAAACATGACAGATAACCATTATTATTTATCCAGTAAAATCAGTTCCTCTGTTACTGCAGAAGACAACTAGGGCCCTCTATACAGGAAAAATATTTAACAAACACTGCTGTAGCCTTTTTGTCAAGAAAGGGCCTTAATTCAATGTGAGTAGTTGCAAATCATATATTTATATAAATATCTGAAAATCACAAATTTACAGGCATTGGTGTTGTTGTTAAGTGCCATCTAGTTAGTTCTGACTCACAGTGACTCTGTACAGGGTTCCTAAGGAGCATCTGGTAGGTTTGAACCTCTGAATTTGCAGTTCAAATCGACCTTGTGGTCCAGTGTTTATAGTCATTGGTATGTATTAAATGGATAAACTCTATTTGTTATTCAAGCATTGACCCAGTAGGCAAAGGATATTTTCTAGGTGGAGGCTGATCATGGATTCAATTCTAAGCAATGACTCCTTGGGTCCACAGCTTTCCAAAAATGTCCCTAACAATCTATTTTTTATTGTGTCTATTGTCTTGCGCCTAGGTGTTGCATCATACAGAAGGTGGTGGAAAGGGGGACTGCGCAAATCCTTAGGAACAACAGGTTTGGTATGAGGTCCTTTTCATAAGGAAGAATTTTTGTTAAGTTTATAGCTTTCTTTTATTAAGTGTTTTCTGTCTAATTTAGAAGCATGTTTGTGAAGGCAGACTAAATCATAACAAATTTGAGGATCCCATCTTGGGGTTTTTAATTGTTTTATTCTGGGCTATTTCAGGATATTTTTCATTGCAAAAGGGTTTGTTAGGACAATGTTTACACAAAAGCTTCTAATAATCTGTGTTAATAAAAAAAACTTAATGTTTTTAAAACAAAAACACTGTCTAATGAAGTACCATGGTTGATAATATATATGTGGTTGGCTGTAGCTAAACATTTTCTTTAAAAATATGTATTTTTTTAACTAACTACTTCATTACCACACATGTCCCTCATGTTTGTAATGCAAGTTCTGAGTAAGGGCAAATTTAAATACCTTCAGAATACATAAACTATCAGGGCTTATTCATAACTGTGTAGTTTAGAGTTTGACACTAGTTCTTTTTTTTTTTTAAGCTTTATAAGATCTTATCTTACAGATAAGATCATCAATTTTACATTCAAATCATACACTGTTTCATCTCAATGATTGCAATCCCTGCAATGCAACAATAGTTGTTCCGCTTCCTCCCTGTGGTTTCCCATGTACAAATATAATTTTTCAAACTCTTATAT